TGTGCTCTAAGTTATAATTCTTTTTCCTTTTCATTAGCAAACTTCTGTTACGCCATATGAAATAATGATAATAATAATGCAAAACTCAACCAGCTTATGTGGTCAGTCTATTTTAGTTTAAAGTGTATCTTAAATTGTTTAGTTGTGTTTAGTTTAGTTTAGTTTAGTTTAGTTTAGTTTAGTTTAGTTTAGTTTAGTTTAGTTTAGTTTAGTTTAGTTTTCTCCCCTGGGCAAAAGAGACCATCTTGCTATTTGTAATATTTTGTAGGTTTTCCTACTTTTTCTATGAAATCTCGTCTCAGGACCCTGCCATTATTTTCTACGCACACATCCTAACCACAAAGGAAGCACAGAACTCTTCTTTCCCCGAAACCACCCAGTTTCCTTGCATATAACTTCTTGTTAACACACACACACACCCCCGGCCGCTTTCCACTCCACGTACCTCTGTGGGTTCGTTGTAGTACGAGGTCCACTCGGAGATGTCGTGCGATTCCATTTTGACTGAGCCCAGCATTCCAAAATCCCGGAGAGGAAAAATAATGGCTTGTCCGTGCTTAAAATATCAAGGAGAGTGGGAAATCCTCGAATTGGTTTCTTGGGGAAGTTTAATGCTTTATTTTAATGCTTCTCTTCTACCCCCCCCAAATGCGTTCGTTTTGAAACTCAGCCTAAACCCACAGACCGAAAGAAAGAATGATCGCAGAACGATCTGCCTTCCCCTTTTTCCAAAGTGTGCAGTGGCACTTTGGGGGCCAAAGACTCAAGATGCCCAGAAGTCAGAAGAGTCAACAGGTTTCCATGATTATAGGACAATCCATCCTGTTTTGGGACCCGAGGTCCAGTAGGACTTCCAGGGGGGCTGCCTTTGGGATGTGCAAGCTGTTTGTGTCGGTCGAAACCTGGACTGCTAGTTGTCCCGAGGTCGTCTCCCAGTATCTGAAGGGCTGTCACCTGGACAGGTCTGAGTCTTTATAAAGCCACCTCTTTATCCCAACACTCCTCCTGCTGGTTGACAGTTAAAAAGTTACCGCACTCTCTACTTATCTGGCATTGGCAAGCCAAGGAAACCAGGTCCCTCTGCCACCTGGTGGAAGGGACACGGTTGCAAGGAAGCAGCTGGCTAAATGGCCAAGTCACCACCAAGGCTTGGTTGAACTTTATGGAGTGGCAACCTCTACTAAGGGGAACGTCTGGCTGCTGTTTTGTATCCAGCCCCTAGACAGCTTGGTGATGACAAAAGCATTGCAGCCTACAGATGTATTAAATTTATTTCATGTTGGACATACTGTAATTTCTACAGCACACCGAGCAGGGACATATTGGCTATGCCTGGTCTAAGGAAGAGGAGGATTAGTGGGGACCTGATAGCAGCCTTCCAGTATTAGAGAGGCTGCCACGAAGAAGAGGGGACCCACCTATTCTTCCAAAGCAGAAGTAACGGATGGAAACTAATGAAGGAGGGATCCACCCTAGAACTATGGAGAAATTTCCTAACGGAAAGAACAATTAACCAGTGGACTGGCTCGCCTCCAGACCTTGTGTATGTTCCAACACTGGAGACTTTTTAAGAAGAGATTTTTGGCACCTTCTGACACGTCAACAGGGAAGTCAGATTCATTTAATGATCAGGTTCCTAATTTATAAACTGCAACGATCCACTTAATAACTGCGGCAAGAAAGATCGTAAAATGGAACAAAACTCATTTAACAACGGTCTTGCTTAGCAAAGGAAATTTGGGGCTTCACTGTGGTTGTTGAGGACTTGCTCTACTGGAAACTGCTCAAGACGGAGGCATCCCCAGGAAGAGGTAAAAAAGGAAAGATGCTGGCTATCACCATCGGTCAAACTCCTTTCCCTTATTGATGTGTATCATGACACAACTTCGCAAAGTGAGTTGCTGCCTTTTAATAAAGTGTGCTTATCACAAAAGCTGGTGCCGTTCATATTTTGGGCTTTCCTGGAGTCCCTTCTACTGACTCTCCTACCACATAAGCCCGAGAATGATTCCACAAGACTTTTAAGATTTGTTGACCAACTCCCAGGATTGCTGTGGAATTCTGGGAGTTGAAGTTGACAAGTCTTAAAAGTGGCCAAATTTGGAGACCCCTGCTATAGGTCCTGGATTGCAGAGGAGTGATGAGAAGGAACTGTTTCCCACATGCTCCACATCTGCCCAGGCTTCAGCTGATCCACGGAGGTGGGCGAGCAAGTAGGCTGGGAGAAGACCCCCTGGTTCTTCCTCCAAAGGTTGAGTAAATTGTCTTTTCAGACTGCTGCTTTCGGCAGTCCGAGCTGGTGAAGCCACTTCTTGGTGGGAGGTCACCTTGCAGCAGAGCTGATGTTGAGTAACATGATGAGCATCAGAGTTTCACAAGCTGGGGCTGCAAGGTTCTCCCTTTTTAGGGGAGCTTTGGGTAGCTGGTCTTCCAGTTTGACAACTCATACGTTGTTCTAGATCAGAGGTGGGCAACTATGACCCCTTTATAACTATGGCTTGCTCAGGAATTCTGGGAGTTGAAGTCCATAATTCATAAAAGGACCATAGTTGCCCACCCGTTCTAGATGAATAGTTGCGGGAATTGGGAATGTCTGGTCTAACAAAGAGAAGGACGAGGGATGACATGAACTCAAATATGAGTTCCAATATTTGAGGGGCTACCACAAGGGGGTGGGGTCATCCTATTCTCCAAAACACCTGAGGGCAGAACAAGAAGCAACGGATGGAAACGAATCCGGGAGAAATCCAACCTAAAACTAAGGAGAAATTTCCTGAGAGCGTGAAGAATTATAATCAGTGAAACAACTTGCCTTCAGAAGTTGTGAGGGCTCCATCACTGAAGGTCTTCAAGAAAAGACTGGAAGGCCATTAGGTCCGGAATACAATAAGGAAAGAGTGTCCAACCTTGGCAACCAAGAGTTGTGGATTTCAACTCCTGGAATTCCCTAGCCAGCCAGCATGGGTCTCCTGCTTGATCGGGGCTTGGAGTAGAAGATCTCCAAGGTCCCTTCTCACTGTTATTTTATAATTCTCCTACACCTTCGCCCTTTGCTCCCGCCTATGCTATGTGAGATTGTTGATTGTCAACAACTGTCTCTTTTGCTGGTGACATGGCCTTTATGAGAAAACAGTGAACGTCCTTATGACAGGACTCCTGTTTAGGTGGCACCACCACCTATCCCTTCTGGACTCAGGCATTGCCCATGAAATGTGAGAGACCAGAGGCCCATCACTGTAGCCCCTGCCATAACTTTCCTGACAAATTTGTGGGGAGAACAAACTAGATAAAGGGCAACTTCAGATGGCCAGCAAAGTCGGTGTGTTTGTGTGTGTCAGTTCATTCACAGGCACACAATACCGGAGAAGGAGAGGGAATCCATGGAAAAAAAAAAAGATAACCAAGTTTATTGACAGAGACAAGTAAAAGAAAATACAAAAACAAATTTAACCACCTCCCTCCCCCCCCCCCCCCCAGTCTCCCCAAAGTTTTCAATGTGGGAATCTTATCCCCACATCTTCTCCAGCATCACCTCTTCCCCCACCCCCCCACCCCCGTTGCAACACAAACACACACCAAAGTCGGCAGAACCACCAACAAGTGAAACAGATGTGGAACCACACGCACGCACGCACACACACACACACACACCAGAGGTTATGGGGTGGTGCCTATATTTAAGTCCCCTGCACCTCCAAATCCCATCACACCGAATGTGCCATTCCTCCCCTCTCCCTTTTATGGATTTATGGCCTCCCTTCTTTAATTAAGAATTTGATTTTTTTTTCCCTATCCGTTAAAGAGCCAGGAAACCAACAGGCCCAGGAGATTCTTCTCTGTCATAGGATTCCTCCGGAGCAGGGGTCTCCAACCTTGGCAACTTTAAGACTCGCTGGCTGAGGAATTCTGGGAGTTGAAGTCCACAAGTCTTAAAAGTGGCCAAGGTTGGAGACCCCTGCTCCGGAGGATGCGAGAAAGCAGAACTGAACTTGGGTGGGAGGGGCATCCTGAGCAAGGATAAAACCCGCAGCACCCCAGAGCAGTCCTCCCATCCAACCTGACCCCCTACGGCCATTATTCCCAGCCTCAGCTGGCTGAGGAGAATGGTGCGGAAGCCCAGCTCATCCCTAAGATATGAATCCACCTGAAGACGTCTCCCCTGCTCTTCTTATTCCTCCAAGAGGGCTGGTGCAGCAGAAAGAAAACGGCAGCGGATTGGGTCCCTAGTCCGTCTTTCCCTCCGCACACCCCTCTCAATCCCGCCCTTTCTGGGACCTTCTCTCCTCTCTTCCACCTGACAAATTAAGCATTTTAACAAAAGAAAGAAAGAAACCCTTATTTTTGGCGTGCATGCTTAGTCTTTTGGTATGAAAAATACCCCTTCCCCACCGCCTAACTGAAGATCAACACGCGAGGCACTTTTTCCATCCCTCTCTCCCTCCTGCCACATCGCTTCCCCCTAATTTCCCAGACCCTCTTTCTCCTTCCCCCCCTCCCCACCCTAACCATTCCCACACAGCATGCCTCCTTCCCTTCCCTTCCCTTCCCTTCCCTGGATCCACACAGCCGACTTCTGAACTTCCCGACGAAGGGGCACAGATTCAGAACGGTGTCCAGTGACGGGCTGTGATGGCCAGGCCGTGAGAACGACATGTACAGTGGACTGGGGGAACGTGAGAAAGTGAAGCTGCAACCAGGATTAAGTAGCACCTAAGGGACCGATGAGGGGCTGGGAAAGTGTTTGGTTCGGGAAGGAGTCAAACATCAAGACATCGGAGCAAAGTCGGCCGCAGCCTCTTCGCGGCGAGCAGGATCCCCCAAGAAACGCCTAAAATTTCAGAAACGCATCCGCCGAGCTCGTCAAGCTCGCCTTTCAGTCTCCCCATCCCGCAAGTGAGTAGTCCGCCCACCCACCCCACGCCCACCCCTCCCACTGTAGTAGGTTACGTAGATGTGACTTCAGATATAAGCTGGCTATGGAAATAGGATTTAAAAAATAGAATTATATACAGGCCCCCCAAGTCTGCAGCGGGTGGCAGAGGATGTCAGAGAGGCAATAAGTTACTCCAGTCCCTGCCCTGGCCGCAGGAGCCAAGGTGGGTAGGGGGCGTCCCGTGGCACACCGTCCCGGATCGTAGCTGCTCCTCTCCGCGCCGCCTTCAGGGATCGCGCTCCTTTTTTACTTTGACATCCCCCGCGAGGATGGTGGCGATCTCGCCCTGCATGAAGGCCCAGGGCACGTTGGAGCCCACCAGGGGGCACTTCTCCCCGCTGGGGCAATAGACCTCGCCGGTGGCTCCTTGGGCTTTAATGAAATCCCGCGAACAGGGGAAGCAGAACTTGTGGCCCGGCACTGATGGACACTGCACAAAGTGGGTGTCCTCCAGCCGCTCGTGGCAGATGGTGCAGCAGAGCGGGGCGCTGCTGGCACCCCCGGAGGAGTCGGGGGCGCTCTGGGTGCCGCTGGGCTCGGCCGCCCCGGAAGAGTGGGCTCCGGAGGATGAAGACGAGGAGGAAGAGGAGGAGGAGGAGGAGGAGGAAGAAGAAGAGGTGGTGGTGGTGGCCGCTTGGCCCGGCTCTCCGTTGCGGGGCACCAGGCGGTGGGGTCCCGAGGCGGCCGGCGAGGCCGGGCTGGTGCTGTTCTGCCGGGCGGTGGTGGAGTGCACGGGGTTGAGCTCCTTGCCACCGAGCGTGTCGGCCACGTTCTTCAGGGCCGTGATGGGCGAGGGGTCGTTGCGCAGGGAGCCCTCCGGCAGGCCGGCTTGGGCGGGCAGGTGAGCCAGGCCCGGGGGCGGGTACAGCCCGGCCGAGGAGACCGGGGGCAGCCAGTGCTGGCGCTGCTGCTGCTGCAGCTGCTCCTCGCCCGTCAGCTTCCCGGCCGCCAGGTCCCCCGCCTCGGGCTCCGGGGAAGCCTTGCGGCGCCTCAAGCCCGGACGGGCAGGTGGGGCGGCCCGCAGCAGCACGTTGGGCGGCCCGGTGGCCGAGGAGCCGTCGAGGAACTGCTGGGGCAGCGCGTCGGGCGCCGGCGGCTCGCGGAAGTAGCGCACCGCTTCGGTGAAGAGCTCGGCCAGGAGGCGCCAGTCGCCGGAGCCGTGCCGCTTCTCGTACTCCAGGTACTTGTAGCCCGAGGAGAGCACCTTGCCGGGCTCCTTCAGGCAGTCCTGGAACATCTGCTTGGCCACGGCCAGCACGCCGGCGAAGACGTTGCCCGAGCCGCACGGGTACTCGGCGAAGAGCTTGAGCTCGTACTCGTAGCCCGGCCGGGCGGCAGCGTCGAAGGCGAAGATGCGCCCGGTGAGCGAGTGGTCCTTCTTGAAGCGCACCGTGAAGGGGGCGCAGCCGCAGAGCGCCAGGAGCTGCTCCCGCACCGGCTTGGGCTTGCCGTGCCACTCCTCGGCGCGGGCCCGCATGGCCTCGTTCAGCTCGGCCAGGCACTCGCTGTGCCGCGCCTTCTCCTTCTCGTACTCGTAGCCCGCCCGCGACGCCGGCTTGGCCAGCTCGCCCAGCAGAGGCGAGGCCAGAGGCAGCGGGCCCGGCGCGGGACGCACGGCCGCCGCCAGCATCAGCCCCGGCGGAGGCACCAGGCCCGGCGGCGCGGGTCCCACCAGAGCGCGCCGGGCCGTCGGGCTCTGCCGGCTGCCTTCGCCGCCGCCTACCTCCTCGCCGCCGCGGGCCAGGCCGTTGGGCAAGCGCGGGCTGAGTGCGTAGTCGGGGCCGGCCAGGCGGGCTCGCTCGTAGCGCTCCAGCCCGGTCCCTCCTCCGCCGTCCTTGGCCTGCTTGGCGCCCGGCGGCCCCGGCGATCGGCCCTCGGGCATGGCGTGGCTGCGCTTGAGCTGCCGCGCCGTCTCGATCAGCAGCTCGATGCGATCGGCGCCCTCGAAGTTGACGCAGCCCCGGCAGACGGCCTCGCTGAAGTCCCAGATCATGGCCCAGGGCATCTTGGGCAGGTCGCACAAGTAGCACCATTGTCTGCGGGACGCCTGCACCGAAGACATCTTGGCCGCCGCCCCGCCTGCCTTGCGCCGGCGCCCCCCCCGACGCCGAAACGCCGCCGAAACAACCGGCCCGGCAAGGGGGGGAGGGGGGGGAAGCTGGGCCGCGCGCCCGGGAAGCGGTTTCGTGCGGGGCGGGGGAAGGAAGGAGGCAGGCAGGCAAGCAGGCAGGCAGACGAGGCGAAGAGGGAGGAAAAAAAAGGGGGGGATCCCCTCTCTCGCCTGCCCTCCTACATGGAGAAACTTATATAAGTCCCTCGCGAAGCCTGTCGGGAGATGGAGTCCTGGAACTGGAAGGAAGCAGTCTGGGTTTGCGCTGGGGAGGTGGCGGGGGGGGGGGGGGGGGCTTAAAGGCAACCTGGCCCCGCTGCGGTCTCGATGGCAGCAGAGGTGCGGCTGTCCCGGGCGGATTGCGGAGGCTTTGCAAAATTGAGGATGGCTTTGGAGCCTCGCTCAGTCAGAGGTCTCACGGTTCTGAGGGACTACAGTTCCCATCTTTCCCAAGGCATGTCACAGGGAATCGGGGCGATCTCAAAGAGAAAAAGAGGTGCTTGGATGACCGGTTGCACTAAAAGAGGGCGTCTCCAAACCTGGCCACTTTTTAAGACCTGTGGACTTCAACTCCCAGAATTCCCCAGCAGACATGCAGCTATCTGGCTGGCTGGCTGGGGGATTCTGGGAGTTGAAGTCCACCAGTCTTAAAGTGGCCAAAGCGTGGGGACCCCTTAAGAGGGTAGTAGGAGTGGGTTGCCCAACTCTAATGCTGCCTGAGTGTTGCATTGGGGTTCAGTACAATAGCTGCATTAGCCAGGGATGATGGATGCAGCCGCCATCCCACAGGGAGGATCGAGTGGACAACCAGCAGCATCCCATAATATCATTGCACCCCTGTCCATCTTCCGCAGATGTGTTCTTTTGGTCCCAAAGCCATAGTGATTAAAGCAGGTAAGTCTCACGGTGAGATGGGCAGCAAACTAATTTAATAAATAACAAAGGAATAAATGAATGTGGGGTGTCAATATTAAAACAATTTCTTTTTCCCCAGGAACTGAGAATCTCCCACTTTCTCCCTTTCCTGCCTTTGCCCTCACATTCCAGATGCCCAAATATTGTTCCTCAACCATAGCAGGAGGACCGATTCGGATAACCACTTTCCCTGTAAATCAGACATTTAATTTTCAACTTTTATCACGGGTGGTCCTGCCTCCACTGCTTTTTGGGGGGTGCAGGTGGAGGTTCCGAGGCCCAGGATGTCTCTGCTGCCCCTCCAAAAGCTGTTCCTGCCTTTCCTACCTAGCATATCCAAGATCCAAGAAAGAGTTAACTGGGCTTTTCAGTGTCAAGGAAAAGGAAAATACATTACCCACTTGGCAAAGCGGCTTGAGAGCCCGGATGTTGGGCTGCGGTGTATTTCCGGCTGTTCGACTTCCTCTTTGTTTTTGTTTTTTTTTCTTTTGCAAATCGCCCTCCCCTTCCCCTGCAGTTCAAAGTTCAACTTTAGGGGGTGCTCCTAAGGGGGTTCTTGACAGGCGGGGGCGGGTGGGGGGAAATCCACCATAAAATCCACAAGGAAGAGGCAAAGGGCCTCATTCCTTTTTGCCCGGCCAGAGCGAGTTCCAGGGTTAACTTTCAGCCAGGGAGTTGCAACGATTAATGAAGAGAATGTGGTTAGCGTATAGAGAATAAATCCCATTTTAACCCAGTGTTTGAAGATCTGGAGACTTCAACTCCCAGAATTCCCCTAGACTCCCCAATATCTGAAATCCCTACGCCCTGCAAGATTGGCATGAGTGGTGGCAGTTGGCAGGACCCAGAAACCCCCATGGGGGATGCAAAGAGGGCAGGTGTTATTTGAGCAAGCATTCCTTCCCTTCCAGACATCAAGGCAGCCATGCAATAATCCCTTGTTGCCTTTTATTTGTGATCAACCACCAATTTTTCTCTTTCCCAGTTTATTATTATTTTTTTTACATCCGACCTTGTGGGTCTTTGGAAAGAGCACTCAAATAGTTTAATCACAAAGCTAGTGGTTTTCCAGGAGACTGGGATGGATGGAGCCCATGCAACACCTGGATGGGCTTTGCAAAGAGCCTTTCATAGATTTGAGGCTCCCATTTGTCCTGCCATCTGAGCCCAAATGGTCACATGGCAGTGCCTGATGGCTGGAGGGGAGAAGATGACATTTCTCCAGAAGCCTCAGCCAGCCCAACAGACGGCCCAGAACCTGACTGGATCCCCGTTGCAAATGAGGGACTGCAATAGAAGAGAATATCGGGAGCTTGGGGTTGAAAAGCGGGGTCCTTGGGGCTCCCTGAGCTTGGGGATTTTCTTGGAGATGTTTCATGACCCAACTAGGTAACATCATCAGTGCTAGAAGGGATTTGTGGAGAGCAGAAGCGGGGGGTGGGGAGAGGGGTAGGAGGAGGACAGCAACTGTGGAGTCCTTGGTGCTCCTGGAACTTGGTAGTTTTCTTCCAGACATTTCATCACCAAACTAGGTGACACCATCACTGCTACTGATGCTGATACTGAGCACCAACGGTGTTACTGGTTGGGTTATGAAATGTCTCACTGAGCAGTGGAAATTTCTCTCTCAGTTGCAGTCGTAAGTCGAGGACTACCTATATGAGCAAAACCAGTAGTATGAAACATTTCTCCCCCTTGTGTGTGTGTGTGTGTGTGTGAGAGAGAGAGAGAGAGAGAGAGAGAGGGAGAATATTTATTAAAACAACCAGTTTTATCCCTTTTGCATGATAAGAAGGAGTGCGCCAAAAAGCAGAACTCCACCTTCCCTGCTTGCAGCCCTACCCTTGCCCGCCGCTTGTGGGTCACAGGTGTTCAAGTGAGACCTTAACAAATCCCCCAGAGAATTCTGATGATCGTAGGAAAATAGTTTATTGAGCCTCTCTACCAGAGGGAATCCAGTGCCACGGGCTTTCTTCTCCAAGATGCTACGCTGAGCTTCCGGCTTCCGGCCTGGCCTGAAACTTCACCCAAAGTAAAGTTTCTTTTCTGGCAGTGGGGCAGACTAAAGGGGGCTTGGCCCAGCTCCCCATAGGGTAGGATGGAGCAAATAAGATAGTTGCACTGTGGGAACAGAACTGCGGGAGCCCTGGATTGCCCTAAGCCAGGAGTCTGCCACCTTAAATACTCAAAGAGCCATTTGGACCCATTTCCCACAGAAAAAACACCGGGAGCCACAAAACCTGGGTTGGTGTGGCCAACTCAACGTCACTCGCTCCCACCTTGTCACCACATGCTCTGGAATATGGAGTGAGCCTCCATCCCTCGCCCTTACCTTCTCAGGCCAGGAGAGGAGTGACAAGGAGGGGAGGGCCCGGGCCAGCCGGTGGTGGGATCAGCCAACAGGGAGCTGCAGCAGGGAGCCAAAAGAGCCACATGTGGCTCCAGAGCCGCAAGTTGCAGACCCCTGCACTAAGCCACCTGGCCAATTTGCAGGGAATTCTCGACTTACAACTGTTTTCTTAGTGACCGAAGTGACAAAGGCATGGAAAAAAGTGACCGATGGCCCATTTTCCCCCAACGACCATTGCAGTATTTCCCCTGGTCACGTGATCAAAATTTGAACGCTTGGCAACCGGCTCGTATTTATGATGGTTGCGGGGGCCCTTCTGGGTCACGTGATCCCCTTTTGCGACCTCCCGACAAGCAAAATCGACGCGGGGAGGCCAGGTTCACTTTCACGACCGCCTTACTAACTTAGAACCACTTGCAGCGGCTCCCTTCACAGCTGTGGCAAGCGAGGTCGTACAGCGGGGCGAAGCGCACCAAAGAAATGTTCTCACTTGGCAACAGAACGTTTAGGCTCAGTTATGGTCGTAAGTCGAGGACTGCCTGCCCTATGGGGCCCTGCCTATTTTTTTTTGTGAATTTTTCCCTTTGGAATTGAAGACCCACATTCCACCAGTGGGGAAGTGGGCAGAGGTGCGTGGCAGCCCACTGGGCGCGGAATAAAATTTTGCAGTTATGCTTGGGCCACACAAATCCGCAGAGGAGCCCCTGGAACGGCCACCCTGGCCCCTGGCGTCAGAAATGGGGGTGGTGCAGATGGGTCCAGCTTGTCCCCTTTGTGGGAGGGCAAGACTGAAACAGCCATCCCAGGGGAGCAGCCCCCCGCACCTTTCCTTTTCAGACGGGGGGGTAACACATCTGTCCGGATGCTCACAAATTCTTCCAGCGTCCTCTCCGTTTCCGAGTTGGGGTGCCCTTCCTCCGCTTCTGTGCCGGAGGAGTCCGGTTTGGAGATGGCCCCCTTTCAGCCCCGGGCTCTTCCTGTCCTGGAGATAGCTCCGACTTGGCAGGCGCGCCCTCCCGAGGAGGGGCAGCCTCTGTGCCCGGGACTGCCGTGGGAAGACCGCATTCCACATGTGGGGGCAGCAGACCATTTGGCAAAGCCGGCAGGAGGGGCAGCAGTGCCGCCACCACGTCCGTGAGCCGTTCCAGGCCTTGCCGCAGGGTGTAGGTCAGCTCCCGGATGGCCGTGGCCGTCTCCCTCTGAGCCTGAAGGATGTCCAGAGAGGGCTCGACAGGCAGGTCCAGGTGGGCACGTCGGTGCCGCAGAGGGGGCGAAATTGAAGGGCAGGGCGTGGTGCCCAACAGCTCTCCTGGGGAGTGTTCGGGATGGGGCTGGCAGCCTAGGCAGGACGGAGACGGAGCCAGCTGGACGATCTGCAGTGACGAGGGTTGGCCTGGAGGGGGTGCTGGTGAGTCACGTTCCTTGGGTTTCAGCAAGCACGAAGGCTGGACAGAGGTCTCTGGGCTGGCAGAGACGTTGGCCCTGGCGGGTAGATCTGTAGGGGCTAAGAAAAGAGAGTTACTGTGGTGGAATATGGTCTGGATTCCCAGGAGGGAGGGGCTGCATTTCAGAGGGGAAGAGGCAGTGAAGTTTCGATAGCTTGTGTGATAGAAAGAGGGTGGAGACGGCTCCTCCCTAATGGTTCTCCAGAATATATCTAGAGTTATGCAAATGGTTAGTTTAGGCTCCTTGGTGCTCTCTGAGTTTGGTGGCTTCCTTGCAGACGTTTCATTGCCCAACTAGGTAATCTCATAGAAGGCAAAGGGATTTCTGGAGAGGAGGAGGAGGAGGAGGAGGAGGAGGAGGAGGCAGCTAAGAGGAAGAGAAGGAGAAGGAGGACTTGGGTCCTCGATGCTCCCTGAGCTTGGTGGTTTTCTTGCGGACATTTTATTACCCAGCTAAGTAACA